CTTAGGAAATGCTAGGGAGGTAATAACAGAATCCAGAAAGTTAGTACCAATACTCAGCGGAATTGCGCTTGGTGCAATTGTCGGAGCAAAGAGCCCTCTGCGCCCAGCTCCCCGGAGCGATTGTCTTCCCGGGTGGGCAATCTGCACAATTGTAGGCGTGCCATGCTTCTGGCTTGCTTCGGCGTAGGCTTTCCATAATGTGGAACAGTTTGCGTCGTAGTCAGCTGGCACGGCAGGGTCCTTGAAGTTTCCGAGGTGGTTCACGTCGACTTGCACGTTTCCTGTAATACTTAGAACTATGATTTGTTGGATATGCAAAGGAACAGACAATGAACCTGTAATGATCATTCCCCATCTTCCATCGCTCCACTTGCTGTAGGCCAGGTTGAAGTCCTCATTGGGGTTGCTATCCGATGTGGCTAGGTTTTCGGCCATGGCCGCCTGCATAATCATAAGCAATGTCTTATCTATCCGAGTTCAATTTGGCAAATACTTTGGACAAGCGATTGGGGAAGACCAAGCCACAGGGTAGCTTGACTGCATCGTTTAACGGAGACGGCATCTTAGTCGTGAGGTTGAAGAGAATAGGTAATTGATACTGGAGGTGAAGAAAACTTTTAGGGGGCATGACAGGGGGTTTGATTTACTTTTTAACCAGGTGTATTGAAACACTGTAGCCCATTGTCATACTACAGAGTACAATCATTTAACGGACAGACTATCAGATTACCAATACAAGTGGAGCAACAATTCAACAGCATGATTCAAACGGAGGAACTGATTACTGAATATGCCGACTCGGACACTGCTTCTAGTTCCCGAGCCGAGTTTCCACTTTAAATTAACCCAACCCTAAGAGATTTTAAGGGACTCCTTTACTCTTAAGGCAGCGGAAGGTCCTCATTAACTAGCTTGGCAATCGAACTCGCCATCGCCGCCAACGGAACTATGAAACATACAGCTTCCGCATAGATGTCAAATCAACAGATTCTTCCTTATTATGTTTGGGGATTCCACGAAGTTCTGTTACATAAACTTTCCATTCTGTTAGGAGTTAGGAATGACAGACCTTTTCGTTCATTTAATTCGACCTCCATGTAGATTGGGATTTCGTAGCCTTACAGAAGATCAATAATCTAGTACAACTAATATCAGCACTGAGCGAAGGTTCACGCAGCAGCAATTCAGGATGACAATCACAAGTAAATCAATCGACAAAGCGCATATTGGCACTGACTCCTATGTTTGGCGAAGGTAGGTACTAGCTTCCGCTCACTTTGAACAACCCTTTGTATTTATTTTAGGTATAAAATAAGGTATTGTATAATATGAATAGACCCACTATGAAACTCTGTCTTAAATTTCCCAGCTTTCATCTTTCCCGGAAGAAAGTAGTTAGTAAGTTCGGGAATACAAGTAATCATTCCGCGAGTCATGTATCGACCTCGGCTTGCCGCTTACAAACCCAAGTAGTTGACTAAATGAATCAGCCAAGCCGAATCTGGATTACGCCTTTGAGACGTTTGAGGAACACTGTTGACACTGGTAGTTGATTCGTTGGAGCTAATCTGTATCACGTTGGAAGGCGGCACGTAGCAGGCTTGGACATGCCAAACCCTTTGCGTAGCATTTTTTTTTTTTTTTTTTTTTTTTTTTTTTTGGTGGCCTCAAAGGCATAGTTGTTATAGATAGTAAATACTACTCTAAGAAGCCTTCTAAGTACAGAGAGTTTCTATTAGTATTCTTGAGGATCTTAGGGCCTTTCTAAATAGGGTGAGTTTAGTACAAGATTTATCTAAATATTCAAACAACCTCCTTGCTAGTTGAGTCTTTCCCTCTTGCTCCACCCAATCTTGATGTGATTGACGCGATTTTGGTGCCACGGTGGTTGTTTGAATAACGATGCGTGGAATCCGTGCTAGTTTTGATAGAGAGTGATCCGCTCAGTGGGATTTACGTTACATATGATTTGTGCACTATGTCCGGAAGCCGCTATATAGCGAAATGTGGGGTTGTTGAGGTTTTGGTGGCGATCCGATCCGGGAATATCACTAATCATTGATTCTTTATAATACGTTCGCCTGCTGTTCCATACACACAGCTAGCGACCAGGAATGTGATTTGAAATTGAGCTATGGGGGTCAATCGCCTGGTAATCAGCCCTTGCTGCCGTTGGCCTGCGGTTCATCCGACCTTAAGAAAAAGTCAGGTTTTGTCAAGTTATTTTGACGCTTTTCCCTTAATTCTTCCCCAATATTTTCATACAATCTAGCACTTCGCATGAGTTACTCATCTGTTCAATGCTTCCTGTATCCCTTCTCCTACCAATTCTACCTGAGCTCATAATACTGCTAAATTAAGATGAAAGCGGTTATCACACAACGATCCTTGCCGAAACGTCTACTGAGTCTCGCTCTCGGTAGTCCACTGGGGCAGGGCGCACAAGTCAACGATGTCCCAATTCCAAGCATCACTGATGATGAGGTCTTGGTCAAGGTGCGTGCAGTCGCGCTGAATCCGATCGACTTCAAAGACATCGATTTTCTCTCCCCACGTAATTCGGCGATTGGCTGTGACTATGCAGGCGAGGTGGCTGAGGTCGGCAAGAACTCAGGACAACGTTGGAAGGTTGGAGACAGAATCGCTGGCTTTGTTCACGGGGGTTTGTATCCCGACGTTGGCTCGTTCGCCGAGTACCTCAAGGTCGATGGAGACTTGGCCTGGAAGGTGCCTGACGAAATCACTCTGGGCGAAGCGACCACCTACGGAATTCCCGCAGCTACAGCAATGCTCAGTCTCTCGTACCTCGATATTCCCTGGGTGGATATTGAGAACGGACGCAGCGCTCAACAAGGTGACCAACCGACCATTCTCATCTATTCAGGGGGCTCGAACGTTGGTCTCTTCGCTATTCAATTAGCCAAGAGAGCAGGATACACGGTTGTGGCAACGTCTTCGCCACGTTCCTTCGACCTCGCAAAGCGCTATGGCGCCGATGCAGTATACGACTACCGTTCCTCTGCATCCATTGACGAAATCAAGAAAGCCCATCCGAATATCACAAAAGCTCTCGACTGCTTCTCCGAAGGCTCCTCTGCCGCTTTCTGTGCCGACGTGTTGCGAGAGGGCAAAGTGGTCACGCTTCTCGATCAAGGAAAGGCAAAGAAGGCAAACGTGAGCTATACTTTCCTCATGGTCTACACTGCATTTGGTCGGAAGTTCCAGCTGTTAGCGCCCCTCGGCCCCGTGTTCCCAGTGAAGCCAGCAGACCGCGAGGTCATCAGCAATTTTTACGGTAACTTTTCGACCTTGTTAAGCCTTGGCGTTGTGAGACCTCCATCCATCACAACCATCAAGGGCGGATTCAATGAAATCTTTGACGGTCTAGAGACACTTCGCCAGGGGGGCGGTCGAGGCACGAAGCTTGTCGTCGAGTTCAAGTGATTGACGTTCTGTACTTCTCACCCTGTCTCTATACATCGTGTTTTCCCGGACCTGGGGTTTCTGGGGTACCACTAGTTCTTATCATTCAATTCCAGTTGCGTAAAGCTAAACTAGCTCTGCGCGGTGGAATATCCATTGTTCTGAATTATTCATCGTCAAGGTAATGCCCCAAGGCCTTAGGTCGGGGCGAAGTGTTGGGTAGGCCTTGACCTACTTAGGTTATTACCATATGAAATTTTACGCAGATAATGAGTTCTACTTAGATTGAACCTCTTGGTTCTCCATGCTTCTAATTCTATTTAATATGATACTATTTCAGCAAAATGTCCCTTACATTCGGCTTGCGGGGCATAGTTAACCCTTGGCGCTGCTTCGCCACCTACGCTTGGACAGAGTCTCATGGATCCATTCTTATCTTTGGAGGCTATACTATGACAGCAATACGCTCAGAATTTCTTTCTCTGAAAAGCCACGCCTTAATTCTCGTGGCAATATCAGCTAGAGTTCCACTTTGCTTGATATACTGAACCCAACACCCACATCACAAGACCGCAATCATAAAGTCATACCATCCTCTGCTGACGAAAAGATGGCATCTGGTTTCCCTCTTACTTCAGGTCCAACATCAAGCCTTTATCCTGTTTTCACAGTTGGTGCTACCGCATCATCGAGCTTTACTAGAATCGCGATATCTCACGAAAGCGGCAGAAAGACTATCCAAGTCCTAATGGGCCCATCACACTCTATGCTTGGACGAAGCCCTATTGCGAAGGCGAGCGGGCGCAGACCCAGTTTAATTTGGTAACATTTATACAAAATAACTCAAATTTCTATCTATCTCCTCGTCCGCTGGAGGGTCAAGAACAACTTGACATTTCTCTCGCAACCAACCTTAGTTCTTGGAACTTTCCGTGTAGTAGATAGACCCGCTAGTTAATTAATATAACTATATTGTGCAGACCCTCGCTTCCCCAATCCAACCTCCAGCCCTTGAACCTTCCAGGGAGTGTCGGCGTGCAAATAAGTTGTCGCCGGGATTTTTGTACGGCATCTTCCTCATATGAATATCTTTGCTCTAACCTTCGCATTGCGCCGTATCTCGAGGGCATCCCTTGTTGAGGCCAAGATGCTTTCCGACGTCGGGGCAATTAATGAGCACTGGGCTGATTGATAATCTAGATGTCCTGCACTTCTCGGACGCGATCACTAATCAAGAAATCTATGCATAAGCAAGCCGAGGTGGCACAAACCCCCACCCAGGCGGGTCCCCGACCAAATCGATATCGCCATTTTTGTTTAGAGTTTTGATATTCGATATCCAGGCACACGACAAAATTGATGCTACCGTCGGCACACAGAATATAATCGTCGGCTAAATAATATCCCTTATGGCCTGGCGTTTTTGAGAGTAGGCAATTTCAATGACGACGCCTGGATATCTTCCATCTTCACGCGAGATAATCGATCTAATGGAGATCTGTGCAGCAGCCGGCTGGAGCGAATACCACCTAATCCAACTCTCACAGGTGGAAAATTTAAGAATCTCTAGTGAATGGCTAGAAAACTAGCTACTGGGGGTTTGGTCCATCGAGGATCATCACTGGAATGGATAGACGAGACAGGTTCCGGTTTTCCAAAGGCCATGCTTCTACCACCATTGAAGAATCCAGTCATCTTCTCTCATGATCTATTCTGCCTCAGCTATCTTGGCCGGTTTCTCAGCGCTTGCAAGCTGCCTTATAGTTCCCCAGCTGGTCAAAGCTTCTTCCCCACCAGTCTTAGATAACCAATGCTTCACCAGGGCCACGAAGACTCTCGCCACGTCCGCGCGGTCACGGAGACTGATTGACCATTTAACACCCTTTGGTAGGAATCGCATCACCTGACCATCCAGGCTCCGCCCAAGCATTTCAATCTGCTGTCGAGCATTCGTCAATTCTTTCTGCTGCATAGAATGGTATAGCCATCTCCTGGCCCTGTGGGCTCTTTGGGCAAATTGATGGAACCGCCTGTGCTGGCCGATTGTGGTGTTCAAATGAGCTTCCGCATTCTGGGTTGAGCGCTCTCGCAACAGGTCTCAATGTGATGTTGGCCATATATATACAGCAGGTCTATAAACAAGCAGGGTATAGCAAATCAATCCTCAAACGCCAGGTCCATAGAGTATAGCCCATTCAAAATAATCTATAGCTTCGCCTTTTCCACCCACTCCCGCTCCAGGAGTTTCTCCCCCTCCAACCGCCACTGCTTACCCTTCTCCAAAACCGCATCCACCTCTTCATCCGTCAAAGGAACAGCGGTTTCAAGCGGAATTTCACGAACCGACTGCAACTTGTACCCAATAAAGGTAATCTTCGCCGGAGTAGGGGTAGCCGCAGTAATTTTTCCAGCCATAACATCATGACAGAACTGCGCCGTGCCGTCCAAGAAGCGACGAGACGAAGGCGTCCCCAAGAAGACCTGTCCGAACACATGCGGCATACCTTCAAATTGCTCGACAATCACAGGGACGCCAACCCGGTGCATTTTGCGGGCGACAACAAGTCCCTCATCTGTAAGACCTTCCTCGCCCATGGAGATGAACACCGGCGGTGCGCCTTTCCAAATATCATCGCGGCCGGCCACCGGGCTGACGAGTGGATGCAAAAGGGCGCTGGCGTTCGTGTAGAGGTCCACACGAGGTGGCTTGACAGGCCAGACATCGTCTTCAGGCACAGAAAGTGGGAGGTAGGCTGTTTCGGGATCCTGGGTGGGAGGGCTCAGGAAGTCGTAGACCGAGTTGTGGTGGACGGAGGGCATAGAGCGAGTGATGTCGCACCAAGGGGAACTGATGGCTAAGCCGGCAGGCAGTTCGATGGGGACATCACGTCCATGGAAGCGAACGGTAGGGCAGACGCGACGGAGTGTGAGGAGCGTTTGGACCAAAACGAGACAGAGGTTTCCTCCGGCTGAATCACCGGAGACGATGATCTTGTTCGGTGCGACGGGCTCGTGGAGAGAGCCCGGAGGCGGGGAGACGAGCGCAAGGTATGCGGTAAGGGCATCAACGAGAGCAGCAGGGAACGGATTCTGAGGCGCAAGACGGTAGCGCACCGATAGCACACGGGCACCGGTTCGTTTCGACAGCTGAGCGACGAGCGGGCGATGGGTGCACGGGTCGCAAAGGCTTCACATCCAAGACGTCAGTATTCAAGCCAGAGTTCCCAGACAGCATTAAGGGCAACTTACAAATACGCTCCTCCATGGAGATATAAAATCACCATATCCTCCTTCGCTTCCTTCTTCAGCTCCTCATACTTGGCTTCTTCCGAAATATCCGGCTGCGGCGCGTTCTTGTGCACGCCGCTCCGATATCCCGTCCACTCTGCCTCAAGCGGGGTTACTCCGGGGATATTATAAGTTTCGTCGCCCTTCTTCAGGTCTTCAATGGCTTTAATAACCGCGTCCTGGACATCCTCTTCTGGCTTGGGAAATGTCACCTTGGACACCCACATGGGACCCTTGATGCCGGGGTCGCGCATGCTATCTCTTTGCTGCTTGCCGACGGGCGAGCTGAAAACGAGGAATGAGCGAATGATGGCGACAGTCAACTCGGTGCGCAGGTCTTGTTTCCCCGTAACTGGCGACAGACGAATGGCATGTAGGAGAACGGTTTTGAGAATGAGGGGAACTCGCACGAGAATTGCCGCCAACAGGCCGAGCGGGTTGTCTAGTTTGCTCATGATGGCAGACTGTAGCTTGCGAAATGGAGAAAGCAGAATAATCAAAGAGTGAAGACTGACTCGCCGATAAGAAAAAAAAAAAAAAAAAAAAGCAATTAACGGAGAGGCCAATCCCCGACGGAAAAAGAAAGTCGAACGAAAAAAAAAGGTTATAGACGTGGAAAAGAAAGAAAAAGATAAGGGGGCAAAAGTGGCATAAATTGAGGAAAGCCGAAAAGGGCAGCGAACCTCCGACAGACCCAGAAAAGCCTCGGCTCAACAAAGTGGAGGGAGACGATGGCTCCGCATGACGCAGGCACACCCGGGCACCAGCAGTTTCCGTTGCTGTCGACAATGACGAAGAAAATACATGTTAGACTGATTATTCCATTTCTGTTTACCAGATACTTCTTCTCAGGGCTATACTGTTCTTCTTCCGGACCATGGAATGCGGAAGTAGAAATTAACCTTCCAAACCCCAGATTTCGTCCGGGTGGCGCACGTAATCTGCCGCCCGTTCTACTACTAAACACTAAGCAAGCCTGACGAATCTGATCTCATCGGTGAGAAAAACACCCCACTCCTTGCTTATGGATCGTTCATTCCAATGCATTAACTAGAACTATAATAGTACAGATTTATTGATCCCCATTTGGATCATTTCATGCAGGTCGTCAAGCGTGTGTTAAGTGTCACCATCCGGGGCCTTGTCTAAAACCGTCCAGCAGTTTCCTTGGCCTTGCCCTTGACCTCTCCGGCGGCTTCCTGTGCTTTGCCCTTGACCTCTCCAGCGGCTTCCTGTGCCTTGCCCTTAGCAGTACCAAGTGTCTCTTCAGCCTTGCCTTTGCCCTGGCCGGCCACTTGGGATGCTTCACCAGACAGTTCGTCGGTCTTGGCCTTGGCCTCAGAGGCGGTGCTGCTAACGGTGCCCTTGACCTTCTCGGCGGCGTTTTCTGCACATCATGATGAGTGGGAATCCCAAACCATAGGTTCTATTAGTGTACATACCTCCAACTTCAATGCCCTTCACAGCGGCATCCGAAACCTTGCGGTCAGCCTTCTTCAGGGTCTCCTTGGTGGCATCGATAGGTCCCTTGTCTCGACGGGCAGTGGCGGAGATCGAGCGGGTGGCACCGACGGAGAGAGCGGGAGTAGTGGTAGGTCGGAGAGACAGCGAAGCTGTGCGAGCAGCGGGAGCAATGCGGGCGAGGAAAGACATGGTGGATCGTAAGGTATTCGAGTTGATGGGATTGAGGGTCGGATAATGTAGAGGTCAGAAGTAGATTATTTAAATTGTAGTTTTCAAATAGACTGATGTGATAAACGATGTTCGAATTGCCAAAGGGCCACCTCCATGATGCTGGCATCGAGAATCTTTATAGCTGGTTGAACTGCTCAAAGACGTCATCACCAAAGGCGACCTGGTTATTATGTATCTCTTACGTCGATGGGCTGTCACTGCAAGTCCCGATTGGGATTAGCGTTGATGGTGACCAAGGCGCGCTTTGGTTCCCGCCCGATCCACCACCACAAACCCAGTCCGGATACCGTCGCGATCGTCCTCTAGTGCATCCTTCCCCTGGTCGGTGACCCGCTGGCTGTTGCGCTCACAGATCTCAACGCGGCGCAACAGCCAGCGGGTACTATCTCATGCAAGAGCATGCTGATGGACTGGTTAGTCTTCTCACAAATCACAAAAAATAATAAGAAAAATTAACGAAAGGCACAGAGAGAGATTCAAATGTTCAGTCGCGTTATCCGATTAACACTAACAAACGCCAATGCAATGTTCCCTCCTGTATGGGGATATCCTTCTTCTACCAACACCTCTAAATGCTATCACTTATCTTCCTATCTCCTGCTCCAGAAATGCATGGCCATAAAACTCGAACACAAAATCCGAAACTCCAGGTGCTTGTGCTGTCTCCTAATTAATCCGTCACATCTTTATCATCACGGTTCGTCACTTTCATTTCTTTATTTATTTTTTGCCTTTTTCTTTCCTTAACTTTCCTTTACCGTCTCTTTGCCAACATCTGTATGATAGTATGTGATTTCGATAGCTTACTCACAGATGTCAGTTTTCGTCTCATCGATCATTGACTCATGCTAAATCCGTCAAAGTCAGGGCGAGGGGGTGAGCTGCCGCTCCGCGCTCGCAGTCCGTGAGAATCTGCCACTGGAATTGCCATCTCATGCGGGATCAATGGCCCGGACAAGTTCGGGTGGTACATGGGATACCCTGGAATTGCTGATGGCAGATGTGCGGGATAGTGAACACGCCCACCCAGCCGCTGCCGGGCGTCACGCACATCCACACGATGGGCCCCGAAATGCAGTGTCGAAGCGGGCTCTGTCGACCATAAAGGGTCCATGGCAGCGACGTGGCCATCCAGTGTGTTGATGGGTCGGATTTGTGCCTGTGCAGCGTAAGCTACCTCCGGCTGACGAGAACTGACCGCTGGCGGTGGTTGCCCCTGTTGCGGTATGTCCGCGACCCAGCTTCCTGCCCCGGATACCGTGTGCGGAGGCGGCACAACATGTGGAACACCACTGGCTATGACAGACTGCGCGGGCGTTGTAGCTGGGAGTGGAGAGAAGCGCGGCGGATACCGAACCGGCTCGGTTGACCAGGACTGCTGTGACTGTGAAGATTGGTTTCGCGTCATCGGCTCCGGAGCGGGTTCTGAGGAATACCCAACAAGCGGTTCGGTAGCCAGAGAGCTCGGAGGTGATATTCCTGGCATGAATGCAGATGGGTGGGCGACTGGCCTCGCTGGACTCGGTGATGGTCCCATGGAGCTTGGTTGGGCCACACCCACACGTCGTGGTACCGTAACCTCGATGTTCCCTTCAAATGGCAGTGGAGGGGGCGGAGGGATATATGTCAGAATAGACGGTGTACTGGCAGACATGTCCCCAACCGGAGGTGCCATTGGTCGTACAGTGGACAAGTGACGAGTCCGGTACTGAGACTCCTGCGCTATCCCCAGATCCATGGCATTGAGTCGATGTTGCAAGTAACCTTGATCAGGCTCACTGTAGGTGGACTGGGTCATACGATCAGGCTTGAACTCCGCTGAAAGTGGTGATGGATGTGCATTGCTAGAACGGCTCTGCAGCGACTCGCCAGATGATTTGTTCTGCAGTGACAGAAGCGCCGGTCTACTATTGCCTCCCGGTGTCGACGACGATCGTTTCTTTGAGTTCAACTCTCCATCCTGAGTATGTCTGGCTGCTACTGTGGCATAGGTTGGAGCATTCTCTTTGCTCAAAGATGATCGGCCAGTCCCTCGCTTCGTGATGGCTGTGATATCCTCGTGAGAGTGGGGAGG